TCAGCACCCAATACTGTATGTGTCAACAACACTCGATGCAGTATTCCTGTGTGTTATCCAATCAATCGTGCATCGTCTCAATGGTGTCCACCGTTAACCTCGAGAATTTCAATCATCAGTACAGGTAAAGTTTTTGTTTTCAACTACGATGCTGATGAATATTATAAAATCAGCTTAAAGCCATGCGATCTTTCCCATGTTTTTGCTAAGACTTTCTTTGAATAGTATGCTCACGTTTAGGGTGAAGTTATAAAATGACCTAAATCCTATCGAAGCATGTAGCTCTCTCAAGGAATGCACTAAGAATACTTTTATTCCCAATTGATGTAGTATTCAAGAATGAAAAAAAACTCTGTTTGTGCCTTGCTAATACAGATTTTCGAGTCTTACTACACTTTATGTTAAACTTCGCTGCTACCAGCATAGACGAGAAAGCACACGACTGCTTGTGGACTGACCTGAGAACACGAAGAGCTATTGAGAAAAACTTTTTCTTGATATATAAAGTTATTCTAACAGTTATTTGTTCTTCTGTATACAATCATTTCTTGTTCTTTATCATTTCAAAACCACACAAGCTCGAATGCTCAGTTTGTCACCATCGTATAGGAGATATCATGCAGTCAATATATATGGCTTATCAATCTTTTATGTTGTTTTATTACCTTTTTATACGAAAAATACTAAAAATGTGTATTTTTCCTTCAGAGAAAATTGTTCATCCAATTTTAAAAATGTGATTCATTTTATAACAAAAACTGATATTAATGAAAGGCCATTAATTAATTTATGGGATAGACTTGAAGCGAGTACTCCCAAATGACCAAGTTCAATTTGCTAACGAAAAAGGATTCACTAGAATCAGCATATTTTTTATTCCTAATGTTCTAAATTATCTAGTGACAGAAGCATATCTATATATATAAAGAAGAATGTTTGTCTGTCTGTCTGTCTGTTCGCTATGCATTCCTAGATGGTACGAGCAAATGCAACCAAACTTTCCAGGAATCTTCCTCTCATCCAGGAGAAGATCGACGTCTACTTTAAAAAAAAGAAGTTGGTCCTTCGCTAGGGGTGGGAAGTTACCGTTACCCGGGAGTTACGTTACCGGGTAACTAGTAACTTTTGAGTTACTAGTTACCGAGTAACTAGTAACGCCGGAGTTACCAGTTACCAGGTAACTAGTAACTTCGAAGTTACTAGTTACTTTTTGTAGGTAACTTGTCTAAAAAGTCGACATATCGCTTCCTAATGACTGAATATCATCTATTCATCACTCAATTAAATTACGAGTTACTTGGTAACTAGTAACTCCAATGTGCGTTACTAGTTACTCGGTAACTCGTGAGCTGAATAAGTACTGTAATGATGGTATTCACTCATTAGGAAGCGATATCTCCACTTTTTAGACAAGTTACCTACCAAAAGTAACTAGTAACTCCGAAGTTACTAGTTACCTGGTAACTGGTAACTCCGAAGTTACTAGTTACCTGGTAACTGGTAACTCCGACGTTACTAGTTACTCGGTAACTAGTAACTTGCGAGTTACTAGTTACTTGGTAACGTAACGGTAACTTCCCACCCCTATCCTTCGCCCGGAAAATGCCTGCCTATGTTGCTAACCAATCAGATTGCAGTATTCGATACTGTAGAAGTACTGTTAAGCATCATTTCGTGAACACGTAGAAATATGGAATCAGAGGTTTTCAAGGATGGTGAGTTCGAATCTGGGGGTCCATTTGCCTCTAAATCTGATTGGTTGTTTGGAAACCAATAGGAATTCAGCTCTTTAAAAAAGTAGACTCAAACGCTTATACTTTGAAGGAAATGATGGGTCAGGGGGTTTTTAGAGGCGGTGCGTTTGAATCTGAGACCCATTCGCCTCGAAATCTGATTGATTGTTTCGAAACCAATAGGAATTCAGCTCTTACAAGAACAGACCCAAACACTTATACTTTCAAGGAAATCATGGGGCAGGAGGTTCTTCGAGGCGGTGAGTTCGAATGTGAGGTGTATTTGCCTTGAAATCTGATTGGTTGGCCGAAAATCAATAGGAATTCAGCTACTAAGAAACCCAGCTAATCAAACTTGGGTTTTTAGGAGAGAAGTCAGGTAGGGGTTCTAGAGGCAATGAGTTCGATTTAGGGATCTAAGCACTGAATGTGGGTATAGGGTATGGAAGCGAGTATCTTCTTCTGTTTATATAAATAACAATGTTTGTCTGTCTGTTCTTTGTGCATTTGATTTCGGTAATAAGTAGCGCTATCAAACTTTCCATGGTATACTCTTTAGTCGAGAGAAAAATTGAGAGAAGATTGACGCGACAGACAAGGTAAGGAAGGTAATTGGATGTAATGCCATTCAGGTTGTGAAAACTGGAAATTCTCTAATCTCTATCTCTAATATACGATAAGAAAAATAAACTTGACAGGCTGCGCAAAGAGTGAGCATGTATTCATACCATGAATACTCATGGCTCTTATTGATAAACAGTTTGAATTCAAGCGTCTTCAGTTTCCTGTACGTCTTGCCTTCGCGATGTCTATCAACAAGGCTCAAGAGTAATTACTTAAGGTGGCTCGTATTAATCTAGACAGTCCTTGCTTTTCTCATGGCTAACTTAACGTAGCATGCTCAAGAGTTGGAACTGGGAAGAATTTGTATGTTTTAGCTCCTGATGCGAAAATCAAGAAGGTTGTGTATCAAAAAGCTTTGCAATAGACGTTGTATTTCATTAAACAGTCTTTTCTAATAAAAGAAGTCGATCAAACAAAAAGAACACTGAAAAGGATAGAAATGTTTTTAAAAAATTAAAAATGGTGAAAACATCAGTTGAAAAGGGAAAGTGATCTGAACATAGTTTGCGATATCGAATTCCAATAATTGATAGGAGATCATAGCGACGTCTTTTTCTAATATGTCAAGTATATATTATAAAATTATCTCGACTACCATCGGGCTACCTCCGCTAGTTATACCATAATGAAGGAAGATTTATGAATACTCTAAGTCATACAGATCGACACACACCACTACATTTACTTTAGATACCAGTATAATACAAATGCGTATATTGAAAATTGAAAAATAACGAGAGCATGCTTTAATTTCTTTCAGTACTTATGTAGATGTCTACATCGGAAAAAGTATTTTGCATGTCCAATCTATACGGATTGCAAAAATGGATAGGCATATCAAAATGTATCAAGAAATCCTCAGAAGACAAAAATTTGGAGCAGTCTGTATCAAGTTATTTTCGTTCCTAAAAAATCATAGCTTAAGTATCATTCATATCCTATGAAATCGAAACTCAAGAAGTTACGTCATTCCGAAGCATTTGAGGGTAGTTGGGTATGAGAGAATGTGAAGGCATTCTGTTCACTGGCACCTTAAGGAGCCGCTTTGGCTATTGATTCAGATCCTACTAGTTGAAAACGGGCATGCAAAAAATCGATGTCAACTAATTTCGCAACTACTGACTGCTGTCGAATAATTTGAATTATTCTTTCCACACGCTTAAGAATGGTGTCTATGGCTAGAGAAGTACTAATACTTGCACTTTGGCGAAAATACTTATAACAATGTTTACCATTATATACTAACGAAGATTGCGCGACTGTCTATAGGACATCTTCAGGCACCAACAGAAGACAAGACAGGAGTTCACACCTACTAAAGAAAAGGGGAATTTTTTTTGCTGGAATTTGGGGTACCAGCGGATTCAGCACATCACCGAGCCGTCAGACTTGTGGCTGCAGAAAGTGGCATCACTGCGCAAGCCAATCATATTCGGGAGAACGAAAGAAATTTTGTTTTGTTCTCTTAAATATGAATTATTTGTACCCTTCGCTCCTAAATTTAATTAACCGCTAGTGGACTCGGGCCGAGACTCTCTAAAAAAAATTCTTATCAGATAGAACCGTTTCAGTGGGTACCATTTTATGAATCTTTAAACGTTTCTAGACTTTTCGACTAGAGTCTTTTTTTCTCGGGTGTTTTTCGGTAGAAAGATTGTAGTTCGAAAATCTAGAACCTTTAAAAGGTTTATAAAGTGCTATCCACTGAACAGTTTCTGTATGGAGCCTTTTCTTTTCTTTTTACAGAATATGCTTGAGGGTACCTGAGTGCCAGGGAAGAGAATATTCACATGTGCTCACATCTTCACCTACAACCTCTAGCAGTTGTGCTTGTGTCCTAGCTCTATTGATGCCCACAAAGCAGTAGTTCAATTTCAGCCAAAATCGCTTTATAGGACTATAAAAAGGTGTCCACTATACAGAAGTATCTGCAGCTGAAGGATCCACTGAATAAACGATGACATCATTATGTTGTGCTTTTTCTTACGTTAAAGATTCAACAACTATGATAACAACGCGATCGGCATTGTCAATAGCTACCACATCATTAACACCGACGCCATCAGTAACCACTAAAATATCGACAACACCAAGAACAACAAAACTATCGGCGAGATCGACAAATGTTGTAGCAACGACGACCTTTGTGCCTAGCAGTAAGTGAGAAGATCTTTGAATAATAAATTATTTGATAGTTGCATAGAGAATCGATATCACAGAGTTCAAGCGATACGATAAAATCAATGATAGACTCATTTCCATTTTGTGAAAGATGATTAGAGAGAAGTGTTGAAGTATATAGCGAGAAAAATTAATCTTCTCTGTCCTCAATCTGCCTCTCCTTCACACTCGAACGGGCAGAATGATAAGGTTTTTTAGCATCACAGATCGTGACAGACATTGCGGTATGTTAGTCCGTCTAACTCTGGGGGATAATGTGATTTATGCAGATAGGGTTCTCGTTAATGAGTACAACAAATCAATCATGTTTTACATTTTAATTTCGTAGATATTGCACTGAAAGCTTTTTCTGCTGAGTTCTAACAAACAAATGTAACATTAGTTTTATTCTTTCAAGTCGAATTCATTCAGATTCTAGTTCAACGAGAGGTGATTTCTATTGTGCCGCATTGGGCTTTAAGTAGATTCTTTCAAACTAGCGAAATTGGCTTGACACACTTATATCAAAGAGATTTTGATCGCATCTATATTGATAGATCAATGGCGAAAAAAACTGAATTTGAAAGCAATTATTTCCTCATTTGCGATTCTCAATTAACTTTCTAGCCGACTAACTTCTGGCTAAACATTCTGATGATCAAGTTACGATTTTTCAAAATAGCGCAAATAGGCAGTTTGGCTTCTTTAAGTAGCACATATGCGAATTCAAAGAAGCAATATTTTGACTTGAAATCTTTTGTGTTAATGTAACCACTAACTATTTCTTTTCACTGACAGCTTCAACTAGAGTGATGGAATCCGTCTTGAGATTTAATATGTTCGAATGCCTAGTTTTTGATAACGATGAATGTGAGCTTCGTGTAAAAACTTAGTAAAAACTCGTGCATTGTGTATTTTTCAATTAGATTGCGCAATATTCATCAACTATTTGCCATTATATCATGTGCGAAAATCAATAAAAACCAGAGATCGTTGATTATGCACCAGCTACTGCATTTGGCCGTGGCCTAAGTGCAATAGCTGAGAAACTGACATTGATACACATGCATAGAGATGATTAAAGAATGAGAACACAGGCGTATAGGTATTCAGTTGTAAAAAAAGGTTCATTGAATCAAATGCTTGAATATGTCTACTAGGTCCTAAGTTCGACATCACAATGATGCAGATTACGCTAACCTCTGTGTTCGCTCGAATCATTTTTCGATAATATTCGACAAACTGCTCCTTTTAACCGTTTAAAGCTCCTCTGTGTGCCAGAATTGTTTATGCTATGATATCACAAGGTTATCTTTCTTAAAATCGCAATTCATTTACATTTATTTTTAGTATTTCTTCGATAGTTTTTGTAGAAGCCAGAATTCTTTGAATCTTTGTATTTGTACAACAGTTTTGAAGATCTAGAGAAAGCAAAATAGCCTCTTGTGTCAGACAAGGATTAAACAATATATTGAATGTGTTACGTTGGTAGGGTTAGGAAACCGTTATCACTTTATCTGACAACTGGTAACTGGAAATCATTAACTGCTATTTCATCACATTACCAGTTACCAATTTTCGAATACATAACTTTCAAAGAGTGACAAAAGTGACATACAAATAGAGAACCTTACCTCAGATATCCAATATAACAGAAAAGTACCTGCAAAATTGAGAGAATATAATAGAGAGAACTATATACCATTTAAAACATCTTTGAAATGTGATGTCAATCAAACTTAAATATCGAATGGGTTGCAGTAAGGCGTGTATTCATGCTATAGCTACAAACAGGTTCTTTTGTGTACTACCATTCATGTGTTTTATTCATAGCTTATTTTACGTGTGCAGGTTTTCAGAATTGTGAAATTTTTGCATAAATTTTTGAGATGATAACACAACTACCGAGTTCATATAGGTCATATACTTGTTCAGGTTTATTTTCGATTGCCTCAACAACGCATTCCAGAAAGCTTTCGTGATTTCCTTTGAACTATATTTAAAATCAACATATGAGTCAGTGTACGAGATTCACGACCGACTTTGCTCAATTGGAAATCTCTGATATTGAACGTCATCTTACTTATTTTGTAGACCTTCGTATTTTAAAAATCGATGACATTTTCAGACGTATAGAATGTAATTCTAATGAGATATCAAAACCACTACAACAAGATCCAAAACCGAGTTTCACAACTTTCAATTATTTTATTTTGACGACGTCTACAAGTTTCACTGAAATATATTTCTATCAACAGAAACTAAAGTGATGAGAATTTCAGCCAATATAGATTTTTGGGCAGACAAAACGACCGTGATCTTCTTTTGGTATTCAGCTGTCAAAAGGACTTTTCGTTCTAGTACTCTTTCTTACGAATAGAATATCAACTTTGCTGATTCACAAACTATTATCGGCGCCAAAATATAAGGCACCTGGTGATTTTTTTAATAACTCGAAAACGGCAAAAGATATGGACCTGCGGTTTTCACCGATGGAAAGAGAAGGCCCTAGGCTACATTTTTACTACCAAACTCAATTTTTAAGGCTTTCGGATACCAGATTTTTCGAAGATTTTCTGAAAACCTAGGATTTTGCTAAAAGGTTTCGGTTAGAAACCTATCGGTTTTTTCTCATAGATAGGTAGCCCCGAGGGTCCTCTACAACTTCAGATTGAAATACAAAGTTATTTTTGCTTCCTTACCTGTCTGCAGGCTGTTTTACAGAGACCTCGGATTTTGGTAAATTGACCTCTGATCACTGTAATATATTTCTAGAGGGGGTAATTCATTATTCTAAGTCGAGTGGCAACGTTCATTTTCCGTTTCATAGTCATCTGAGACCTTTATATGACGATTTGTGAAACATCAGCTATTTAGGTTCCATAACAGGGAATATGAAATTTAAAAAATTCTGCTGTGAAAGTTTTAGAACGCCTTAAAACAGAGAATAAACATCGCCACTCGACTTAGAATAACGAATTACCCCCTCTAGAAATATATTTCAGTGATCAGAGGTCAATTTACCAAAATCCGAGGTCTCTGTAAAACCGCCTTAAGACAGGTCAGGAAGCAAAAATAACTTTATATTTCAATCCGAAGTTGTAGAGAACCCTCGAGGCTACCTATCTATGAGAACAAACCGACAGCTTTCTATCCGAAACTTTTTAGCAAAACCCTGGTTTTTCAGAAAACCTTCGAAAAACCTGGTATTCGAAAGTTTTTAGAAATTGAGTTTGGTAGTAAAAATGTAGTCTAGGATCTCCTCTTTCCATCGCTGAAAACCGCAGGTCGATATCTTTTGCCGTTTTCGAGTTATTCAAAAAATCACCAGGTGCCTCATATTTTGGCGCCGATAATAAAATTACTCTAGTTCGAAGGAGCCGATTTCGTTCAAACTTTTTTCACAAACACTATCGACTTAGTCATACTAGATAATGCAATGAGAGTTTTGGCAACTTGAAAGTTGACTCAATGGCAATTGTACAAAAACTATGATTCCACAGTATGAAGTATAGTCATAAAACACAACATGCCATCACAACGACTATCACATCAAGTTTCATCATTGTGCATGAAACTTGTATCGCTTTTAATACTCAGTTAGTTCAGTATTTTAGCATAAATACGACAAAGTTCATCGACTGGAATGCATCATTGTCGATCGTCAGACAGACTACATTTTTTGTCATCTTTCATCTCGACGATCAATCCTTGGCAAAGAAATGTATTACCCTGTTTTCGACTTTCAATCAATAGGAATTGATTGGTAGCGTTATATTTGTCTTTTCCTATTTAGATCTCGTTTGATTGTACATACCTATGCATAAGTTATATTGATATTTTCGTGAACTTGCACGACTCTTGACTAGAGTGAACAGTCATATATGTAGATGAAAGCGAAGAGTGTTCGAAATGAAGAAGTAAACGTGTCATTGAGGTCTTCTGAGAAATGCTTTTGGTAAAGCAGAGAAATTCACGCTGCTGACAGCAAAACCGCAACTATCTTGTTGTACGATTTTATGACTGTCAGATTGTACAAATTGCAAGTGTTATGGCATAGGTGAAATAGTGAGTATTCTTTTTGTGAAACTTCTAAGGTTGGTAACTCACGGAAAAAGATGTCAGAGACAGAAAAACAGAACCATAATAGAGAAGAATACATATACATGAGGGTCAAAAATGGGTCCTATTAATGCGAAAACCTATTTCGTAAAAAATTTCTGTTTTACTCGTTTTCGTCAAAAAAGTCATAGAGAAGGTATTACGAATATATAGCCGGTGCCTTTCTAGTGTTAAATATTGCCTTTTTAGATGGCTTTTAATGCCGAGATGGAGAGTTTTCACGTTTGGCTTGATGTTTAAAGAGTTCATACCGACTACGTCAAACGTGATAGATTTCTTGATGATTCCTTCAAATGGTTTTATTACTGTCTCATAAATTGAACAAATTGTAATTTGGAAACCACGGAAGATTGTAGCTCTTATTAACAATCTAAGTAAAAAATAACGGTTGTTATGGCTTGCATAATTTGGCTTGGTCTTTGTAGTAACATCTGTAGTTAATTTTGCTTTTTCAATGATTTTCGTGCTATAACGCGATGATGAAAAACATATTTTAGTAATGCTGTTGAAACTATATTATGATCCCGGAAGGAAGGTACCGTTTAATTAATTTATATACGGAGAAAATAGGCTTCAACAGTTCAGCATACTAAATACTACTGTCTTATGAAGCAAGGTTTATATTATCAATGTAATGTGACACGGAAATCTAAGGCTAAGCTTTTTGGCTTTGGTGATCAAATACGTTGCGTGATGGAGATCTCAATAGAGCTTCGCCTAAAGTCTAGCTGAAGATAGTGTGAAAAAAAGCTGCAAATTCTTTATCAAAGGAGCGCATTAACGATCTGCAGGCATCGTCTTTTACTTTTGAAAATTGTTCGCATTCTTAGGAGGCTGCATATCTTAAGAGAAAAACAAGCAAAGAACTAATAATGACACACTCAAAACGAAAGAGGTTTTGTAACATATTCCACTTGAAGAGATGAAATTGTAAAAGACTTGGCTTTCCCATGCTACAATTTGATATATTGTATATTGCACATGGAATGAATAATCACTAAGATCGCAGATTTGATTCATGGTTAACGTGCTGTTAGGCGTCTCCGACCCCAGTGTAATCTAATCTCCTATACCTTAACCATATTAGAAGTAAATGTTGATCGAAGTCACAAATAAAAAGTAAGCAGTGATCAGAGTGTAACGACCTAACTTCAAAGAACCGAAATTACCCAGAGCAAGCAATCGGGTATCTACTTTCAACAAATGATCATTCCAAAGTTCTCGATATTTCTCTTCCTGACATCCATATACAGTTTTATGCTCGATATTATAAGGATAGCAATGATTCTGAGCAAAGTAATTAAAATCAAATGCAATCATCGATGCCATTTAAGGGTAGAGTATTCATAAAATTGCCATTTCCAGATGCAGCGGAATCGAAGCATTTACTCTTTGATGGCATCAAAACATATATCCTCTCTATATTTTCTAATATGTCAAACTGCCAGCCGAGGAAACAACATTCTTACAAATACTGTCATGTTCTATCCCTGTAGGAAGTAATCACATATACTCTGTTCCGATCAAGACAGCATTTGAATATTATGTTTTGTGTTAGGAAGTTAGGTGGGCAAGTTCATACATGCAAATGTTATAAATTCTCTTGACAGTTCACTCTATATGGTACTCATGCTGCAGTGAATTACGTTGAGAATTTGTCCAAGCAAACAAAGCATAAACAGAGCAATGCGACTCCTTCAAACCATCTGAACTATGTGCTATCGCCGACTTTCAGTTTTGTATGATGTACGATGAGTGACATGACAATATATCTAAACGAAATTGAATTAGTTTACAGACGCACGTCATGGGAAGAAGAGAGATATTTTAGACATTCATTTTCTGTTATTCCAATACTTTTGAGAGTTCCTCAATGGTACGTTTATTCCTTTACTTCGAACACTTTTCTGTTTCATGTACATACATGACTGTTCATTCTAGTCAATAGCTATGTAATTTCACGAAAATATCAATATAACTTATTCATTGGTATATACAATCAAACGAAATCTAAATAGAAAAAGGCAAATGTACCGCTACCAATAAATTTCTATTGATTGAAAATCGAAAACAAGGTAATACATTTCTTTGTCAAGGATTGATAATCGAGATGAAAGACAACGAAAAATGTAGTCTATCCGACGATCAACAATGAAACATTCCAGTCGATGAGCTTCGTCATGTTTATGCTAAAATACTGAGCTAGCTGAGCATTAAAAGTGATACAAGTTTCATGCACAATGATGAAACTTGATGTGATAGTCGTTGTGATGGCATACTGTGTTGTATGGCAATAGTTCAAAGCGTGGAATCGTAGTTTTTGTACAATTGCCATTGAGTCACCTTTCAAGATATCAAAACTCTCATTGCATCATCTAGTATGAATATGTTGCTAGTGTTTATGAAAAAAGTTTGAACGAAATCGATTTGGACGAACTTGAATAACTCTATTTGGCAAATCAGCAAAATTGTTAATCTCGTAAGAAAGAGTATCGGAGTGGAAACTTCTATTGGCAACTGAATACCAAACGAAAATTACGGTGGTTTTGTCTGTCCAAAAATCTATATTAGCTAAAATTTTCATAACTCTAGTTTCTGTCGATAGGAAGATATTTCGGTAATAGTTGTCGATGTCGCTAAAATAAAATGATTCCGAGTCGTGAAACTCAGTTTTGGATCTTGTTGTAGTGGTGTTGATATCTCATTAGAAGTACATTCTATAGGTCTGAAAATGTCATCAATGTTTTAAAATACGAAGGTCTACAATATCAGCAAGACAGCATTCAATATCAGAGATTTCTAATTGAGCATTTCGTTCTAGTGTTAGACCATGCTTCCTGTTCAGTGACTGATATATATTCGAATCTTACGAGGATTAAACAGTTATCTAAAAAGAGAACTATTTCATACAGAGCTGATAAAAAACTCCCATATGTAAACATTCAGATTGCTCTATTGAAACACTTCTCTCTAGGATGGTCGAATACCACCAGTATGAATGTTGGACGATCCTCTCACACAGCATCGATGCTGAGCAATGGAAAAGTCTTAGTTGCTGGTGGATATAACTACTACGATGGCTACTTCAGTAGTGCAGAACTCTATGACCCAGCGACAGGAGTATGGACAAAGACTGGCAACATGACTATTGCACGATCCTATCACACAGCATCGATACTAAGCAATGGAAAAGTCTTAGTTGCTGGTGGATCTAACTTCAATAGCTACTTGAGTAGCGCGGAACTCTATGACCCAGCAACAGGAGTATGGACAAAGACCAGCAACATGCGTTTCGAACGGATCTATCATACAGCATCCGTGCTGAGCAATGGAAAAGTCTTAGTTGCTGGTGGATATAACCTCTACGATGGCCACTTGAATAGTGCAGAACTCTATGACCCAGCAACAGGAGTGTGGACAAAGACTGGCAACATGAGTATTGCACG